CACCTAGGATGCTTCGAGGGTGAGTAAAACACAAGCCAATTTTCATTTTTGGGTGAACTAACCCTTTAACTCATGTTTTGCTGCCATGACTCATGTTTCTCCTCTGTGTCTCAGAGAAGAGATGTACTACAAGTCTGTCCATGGAACAGCAGTCATTTTCCTCCAAAACAACGGTGGCTTTAGCAAATGGGAGCCCACCACGGAGAGAATCCAGGAGTTCCTGGCGGCGTATAAGGTCTGCGGCCGTTCATTGCCCTCACCTGGTCCTTCTTCCACCAGTACAGGAGACAAAGACTCCAAACCGGTACAGGAGCGTGTGGCTAAGACTCAAGACGACAGCAGTCCTGTTGACAAGACTGCTCCGGACACAACAAACATTTAGACCGCGGCGCTGGCGTGTGGCCACATGTATGTATGTATGTATGTTTATGGGAAAGAGTCTATGATTGTATGAGAGGTTTAATATTGCGCTGTTGGGTTTAGATGGGCACTGGGCATGTAAATGTTCACGCGAGAAGAAGAAAGAACCATATTTGTTTACTTCCACCTCTATTATTTAATATTATTTGTTTTAGGTTTTTTGAGTTATGTTATCATAATTGTTGAGTTTTATATCAGTGTATTGATAAGTTTGGTCACATTTTCTTTTTTTTTTTTAAGAGATGATAAATGTAGTCGTGTCTATCTTATTTTTATTTTTGTTGGCCTTTTTAGGGTGAATCTAATTGAAATGTCATATTTCACACCAAGATCGAAAGAAAATTATTTTGCGTAAAGAAAAAGCAGAAAGCCTTTTAAGTTTTTCATTAGCATCATCTTCAACAATCATGCAAGTTTTTCCATTTTCATTTGAGTTTTTGTAGTTTTCATTATTCTAAATGGTTAATCTTTCATTACATTATTTTCATTTGTTACAGTAATTATTTACTGTATTACAGTTAAAAAGTTACTATTACAATTATATATAAAAAATAAAGTCAGCCTAGATTAAATTAAACACAATGCAACATGTTAGCACTGGGGTTTTACTACCTAAATATATTTTGCATCACGGTAGTAAATTATTTTTAATTTTTTTGCGTTAGTGTATATAAAAAATAATATACAATTACAAAAACAGTTTTTAAATAGGCTTCATATTCTTATAAGTAAAATAAAATAGCATATTTCTTTGTTGATTTTGGGTTGAAATAAGACAGGCTTTGTGATATTCACTCTTTAACTCTGTGCTTTTGTCACTGGCAGGATTACGAAGCTGTCAATGAGTTGACGCACCAATGCTTGTATATTGTTGTTTTAGATGATTCAGAAGACGATCGGCGATCAGGCAGCTATGTTAAAAATTAGCGTTAGTGCTTCTCGTCAGCTCCTGTTAAACCCGTTCATAGGCGTTCCTTTTGGAGTTGCGAGGTCACGTTTGGTTGATTCATGTCAGAATATATACTGTATGTAATAACAAAAGGTCAGTAAAGAAGCAGAAAAAATATTTATAATCTAGTTTCCACCCCAGTCATCCATCTGCAGTGAAAGCCAGTCCGTTTTCTTTTGTTTCTAAAATATTGTACAGAACACAATAGCAAATCTGAAATTGTTGAACCGTAAGGATTTTCTACCTTTATTGCGTTCTTGGTTTCTGTACAGTACAAGCCTGTCCTAATGTGGCATTCTGGGTCATGTCAGTTTGTAGCATTTAGGTCTAGCAAGTGGAAAAAGAAAAGTCAAATTCCTTATTAGTTATGAAAGCATTATTCCAACTGTTTGTGGTGTTTTATTGAGAATGAATTAGCTCGATAATATGGCGTACGCCCCTCGTTTTTTCTCCAGTGAGTCTACCTCTCATTTCGGTTGTTTTATAATTGAGAGCAACGACACCTGGAAACTCAAACGAAGCAGTAAACGAGTGGCTCATTCTTTCTTTAATAACTGCATTGGCGTCCAGTTATTAGAATTGGTTGCTATTGCCTTGATTTCATCGTTTCTTGTATTTGAAAAGTGCTTTAAAAGTTTACTTTTTTTTTTCTTTTTTCTAATCAGAAATTTGTTTACATGATATTGGTTTAAATTGTATCACTGGGCAGCGTTTTGAATGTACATTTTAAAAAAGGAAAAGAGAAAAGTTACTGATGGATTTGTTGCTACAATTGGACTTTAAATGTTGCGATTATTAACACTACAATGGTGGATCTTTATTTTTTGTTTGTTTTTGCCCTGCGAATACACATGTAGAAATTCATATTGTAAGCCCAATCACTTCCATCTGTAAGAAAGTATAGGTTTGTTTGGTTGTTTTTATTCAGTGGACTACATTGTCTTGTAGCCAAACTTGGGAAATGGCTTTTATATGAAGTTTAAAAGCATTCCAGTGTTTTGGTTCTAAATAGCTGTTTATGAATTATAGAATTTATGAAATAGTTGTTTTAAACTAAACCAAAGTGTTATTAAAAGAGGAGGAATTTATCTTGTATCTTAAAGTAGAATCGTGTACGAACGCATCAGTAATGCATACAGTGTAACCAGCAAAAACATCCATTTATTCATAACTTTATTTTTATAACTTTTTTTTTTGCTCTTTTTCTTACAAAGGTATGTTTGGGTTTTTATTTTGCATGACCTGATATTTTTCATTACAAAAAAAAATCTAAATTGTACAGATCTGTATCGTTTAATTAGTCGTACGCTTTGCCACACTAGGCTTTAACCGATTTGTATTTATCAGTCATGTTGATTGATTTATATTTGCGTTTGTTGATTCACTGTCCTCTAAAATGCCATGAATGTCTCCCCTGTAATCTTATTCTGATGAAGACAAAGATTCAGTGAATGTAAATATGTCTGTGCTTATATCATTTTTCTTCTACCTGTATATTATCAGTGTTGTGGCATTTCCCATCACCTAAAGTGGTATAAAGATTTTCCTCTGAATCAGAAAAGCTCTCAGTAAAATATTGAAATCATGCACCAATCTCTGGCCTTTTTATTTTATTTATTGTACATATTTGATTTGCATATTTGAAGTGTCATCATTGTACAGGAAATTGTACAGTAACACTAACAAAAAGTACCATGATATTACCATTGTTTATTTTGGACATGGTACCATGATAATACCAGGTTTTATGTATACCTGGTATCATTTAAAGTACCTTGGAGTTGGGGTGTGTGTGTGTGTGTGTGTGTGTGTGTGTGTGTGTGTGTGTGTGTGTGTGTATA